TGGTTTTACTGCCTTTATCATTTCTTCATTCTCAAGTTCTATTCCATCATTATATTATGCCAGATGATGAATAACAAGAACAAGAACAATAATAATAATACTGAGTAAAATGCATAGCTATCTGCATATTTTTATTTCTGGAACTAATAATGGAATATGTGCTTGGGTTTTTTTCGCACAAGAAAATGTATTGTTGTTGTTATTATTTATTTATTTCCAGCATAACACTGTGGAGCTACTCTAGACAACTTACTATAATAAAAAGAAAAATGTATAATTAGAACAGAAATAAAATAATAAAGAAATGATGACCAAGAAACATAATGAGAATAATATATCAATATGATAAGCAAAAGATGGATGGATGGAGAGCGGAAAGCAGGTGTGGAGAGTTGGAGTTTGGCATTAATCTAGCAGTCCTCAGCATTAATCTAGCAGTCCCCATGTGGTTTCCAAGTTAATTGGTAGAGGCATATCTTTAGGCTCCCATGGAAGCATAGGTTGGGGACAAATATTACCTTAGAAGGTATGATGTTCAAAGGGCAGGTGCTGCAACAGAAAAAATTATCCTTCTGAATACCAAAAATCTTTCACTGAGAGGATCTGAAGTAGCCCCTCTTGGGTGGCACAAATAAGACAGGACGTATTAGCAGGAAGAGATGCTTCATCAGGTATTAAGGACTTAAAAAGGTCATAACCAAAAACTGGAACTGCACTTGGAAGCAAACCAGTGGCCAGTGAGGTTTGTAGAGCAGAGATTAATAGGTGCCAGCTTATCCCGAAAGTGCTTTTTCAGGAGGCAACTGAACTGTTTTTCTTTGAAGATGTTTTGCTTCTTATCCAAGAAGTGAAATATCTTCAAAGAAAGTCCAGTAACCTCATGAAAAATTACCATGTGCATGTTAAGGTTAGAAATTGGACGACAAGGATTATATATGTTTCATTGTATTATCGTTGTTAAGAGTTGTGTAAAAAGTATATTGGCCCAGTCAATACACTCTCCACAAAATATGTATGGTTGTTAAAGGAAAATAATGTGTGTGTGTGTGTGTGTGTGTGTGTGTGTGTGTGTGTGTGCGTGCGTGCTGCTCCTGGTTTGGCTGAACTGGTAGTGGCAGCAGCGAGAGGCTCTGCCCACCCACCCAGATGCTTCAGTGCATGTGCGGAAGCATTGTGCATGCAAGCACGCACACGAGTGAATCAGTAGTAAACCCACTGATATACAAATACACACACACACACACACACACACACACATATGAAGGAGAGGCAACTAAGAAATTTCCTGAGTTAGATGAATTAACCAGTAGAATGACTTCCCTTCAGAAATTGTGGGTGCTCCAACACTGGAGGTTTTTAAGAAGAGATTGGACAACCACTCATCTGAAATAGTATAGCTTCCTGCTTGAGTAGGATGTTGGAAGGAACTCCAAGGTTTCTATTATTCTATTAGACCAATAGGTTGTGAACTAGATCTGAACAAGGTAGTGCAACCCTGTCCAGAACGAAGGATGACAAACACTCAGTTCCCGAGACTCCATGCATCCAAAGCCACTTAGTTTTGCCACGGTATAATTGAAGTCTGTTGTCCCTCATCCAGATTCCTATAGCTTCCAAGCATCATGGAAAGGCAGAGACACTATCACTCAGGTTGCCATGTGTAGAGATGTAGAGCTGATTATAGCACTTAGACTTTACAGCCCTCTCTAAGCAGTTTAGTGTATCAGCTTATTTCCCTCAACAATTTGGACCTTCATTTTACTAACCTTGGAAGGCTGAATCAATCTTGAGCTGGTGAGAATCAAACTGCTGAACTGTTAGCAACAGGCAGTCAGCAGAATGAGTCTGTAATACCACATTCTAACCCCTACGTCACCACAGCTCTTTTCATCAGCATATTGACATCTCATCCCATGGTAACAGAAGAGCTCACCCAGTGGCTTCACGTAGAGCAGTGGTTCTCAACCTGCCCGATGCTGCAACCCTTTAATACAGTTCCTCATGTTGTGGTGACCCCCAACTATAAAATTATTTTTGTTGCTACTTCGTAACTGTAATTTTGCTACTGTCATGAATTGTAATGTAAATATCTGATATGTAGGATGTATTTTCATTATTACAAATTGAACATAAAGCATAGTGATTAACCACAAAAACAAATTTAATTATATATTGTGAAATATTTATCATTTACATTTTTATTCCTGTGGGTAGTTGTCGTAGGGACCCCAGAACACTGCTTTGCCCAGGGGGGCCATAATGCTGTTAAGTTGACCATGTGCATGCCAGCTATGGACTTGCACTATAGAGGATGCCAAGAATGTGTGGTGGAGGCTGAGGGCACCAGTTCCCATTCCTGGCCCTGCCATCTCTCTGACTCACTAACACACCCAGCATATCCGTAAGGGAGAGAAATTGAAAACCCCCTTAGCCCTGCCAGGAACAGGCCTGAGCCCCACAGGAAGAAGCAGCACACACAGTGCCAGGTGTATGATCTGTTTTCAGGCAAGGGCTGGCACAGCAGTGGGATATACCAAGATGAGGAACCGTCCTTCCTACTGGACTCCCCACACCAGAGGAAGTGCCCCCTTGCTCTCTGCCACCTAGATTGGGTGGGACTGGACTAGAAGGCTTTCCTGGAGGGGAGCCAGATGCAGCACCCAGCCAGGGGTCTTGGGGCTTTGTATGTGTGTGTGTCTGTGTGTTTGCAAAGCTTGGACTCTTAAGCCTCGTCTAGAGAACTGGTTGGAGGAGGCGCCTGATGTCCAGCTGTAGCCTTTCCTGGTCTTTCTCCTTAGCCCAAAAGAGAAACAGTGGGAGGGAGCCTTTGGGCCGGAAGGGGAGCTAGGCCAGGAAGTCACATCCCTCATCAGAGACCCCTGAATGCACCTTGCAAGGTCTTTTGGACCAATCTGTTGCAGTTTGGACCCATAGCAGGGTCCTCTGGTATTTGCTTGTCCTCCTGAGCTGCTGCCAACATGACCAGACTGGCAACAGGCCAGAGAGCCATGGTGGCCGAGGTATAGCTAGCAACCAGTGGCTGTGGGTTGAAGCCTCCTTAGGAGCCTGGGGGACTTTGAGCCAGACCCATCTCACAGGATCATTGGGGTGGGGAGAAAGGAAGAGGTGGGAGTGTTAGGCATCTACATCACGTTAAGTTGATCAGCAGGAAAGGCAAGGTAAAAATCAAATTCATTTGCTACCATTTACTTTGAAATAAATGCAAAAAATTTCCTTCTTCTTGGCTCCGCTCTTCTGCACTTTCCAGCTGGGGGGAAGGGCTCACCAAGCAGGCTCCCAAGAGGCAGTTGTGCCCTCCCAAGTTCTCCCCCACAAAACATGACGAGCCATGTTCCCTGCTTCCCTCTCCACGACAGTGGCGGCGCAGAGCTCGGAGCGTTCATGCTGCGCTGAGCCCCGAATGCGAGATCCATCTCCCATCTCCAGCTCCTTCCTCTGGGCTGCACCTCCTCCTTCCCATCAACGCTGGCAACCACGCCCGCAGCTCCAGCAGCTTTCCCGCAAGTGAGAGGCCAAGAACCAGAGCAGAGAGGCCAGTGTCTGGCGGCAATCCTTTGGTCACACCCAAGGAGGCAGCGATGGTGGAGGAGACACACCAAGCTGGCACAGACCTAAAAATCTCTCCACGTGGGCCTGAAGGGCAGAGACAAGGTGGGGCTGGAGGGTTGTGAGAAAAGCTGCTCTAAGAGCCAGGCCCAATTTCTCAGTTCGGAGGAGTCTGGAAAGCTGAGGCTCTCTGTAAGCTGGGGGTTGTTCTTGGCGGGCAACCGAGGGACACGGAGAATGGGCCGCAATAGTACTGACGCCTGAATTACCACCTAGAGCTGAGACAAGGGATTGCTTAGTGGTGTCTCAGTTCCTAAGACCATTGAAAATATGTGTTTTCCGATGGTCTTAGGCGACCCCTGTGAAAGGGGTCACGACCCACAGGTTGAGAACCACTGATGTAGAGTATTCGGTACTGACCCCTGTGGCATACTGCAAACAAGTGGTGTTATATAACATAACGGAATTAAATTAAGGAAGTTATCCCAAGGAAGAGCCTCCAAAACAATTCCTGCAGTCTAAAAGAATGTGCTTCAGTATAAACAAAAGATAAAATGATGCATCCTGGGACAGGAAAAAAAAAATCACATGTATATAAACAAAGTATTGGTTAACAGAGACTAACCAGGAATTTTCTTGGACTGGGTAAAAGGCTCAAGGAAAACAGTCCATTGAAGAATTACTCTGAAAAGCGTAACCAGAAAACTCAGAATATTATAAAATCAATAATAACAAAATTGTAATTTTTATTCATTTTTTTGTTTCAAATACATTTACAAAATTGCTGGTATACAATTCTGATATTTGTACCTTAAACAAGAATATTATAAAGTTAGGAAGATGGCAAATGTCAAAACATTGGAACTTCTTGCTTGGGAAAAAAATAAATAAAGACATGCACAAAATTATATAAAGCGTGGGGAAAGATGATTTGTCCTAATATTCAGACCCCAGATCACCCAATAAAACAAAACAAAACAACTGGTTTAAGAGATTAAAGGAAAAGCTTCTCAACCCAGCACAAAGCTACACTTATATTCAACAGCTGCTTGAAGTAGTTTTGCCCTGTCATTTGAATGAATTTCAGAAGAAGGTTAATGTTATCAATGGCTTTAAGGTATAATGGCTGTATTTTATCTAAGTCAGGGATAATATGCTTTCAAATATTAAATATTTGGAAACAATTTATGTGTACAGATGAATGACGATGACAGATACTAGTGTATCTTAGTATATTGGCAGGCCAGTGATCATTTAAATGAATCTTTACGATCAACACCAGATCACATTGTCTTTGAGCTCTTAAATTAATGCTCCCATACCATACTGAATTACTTGGCAGTATATGCCTCAGTGACAGAGACCACAGTGTTGTCATTTTGATTTTTCAAAGCACAGGGAAGCATCCCTCAAAACAGGGATCAAAAACAAGCTTGGTTTTGAGGAAAGAGCCATTAATGGTATAAAGCATTGTTTCTCAACTTTTAAAACATGTGGACTTCAAATTCCAGAAATTCTAGTCCACATGTCCTAAAATTCCAGAAATTCTAGTCCACATGTCCTAAAGTGGCTAAGGTTCAAATACCAGTATAAAATCTGCAATAGCCGTCTCAAGATGCTGAGGTTGGATATGTATTCTAGTTGGCTCATTTTATGGGAGGGTCTAACTTCCACACAAAATCCACATAAATGGTTAACAACTCTTCCTTCTTATATTAAATTTAACTGGAATTTATTATTAATGGAATAACTTCAATTGGTTCTCTCTAGATATATCATTTTTTCAAAGTTATGATTGTGAAAAGTTATGGCTTTTATACATCCATAACTGAGCTTTATTTTAATACCTTAATTTTATACTATTATTAGCTTTGAGAATATAGGAACGTCTGAAGTGAAGATAAAGCTGTTTATGGGCAGGAATAATTTTCCATGTTCACTTAGATATTTAAAAGGAATCTCTGGCTTGACCCCTTCATCTTAAGTTGCCCATAAGAAATACTTCCTGGTTTAAATTAATAACTATTAAGAACTAAAATGGTCTTGACATTTAAAATTTCTTCTATTCCAGTCATGTTGTATTTTATTTATAATGCTGCCTGCTTTTTCTCCATTTCTGATTGCATCTCTATGGGGAAATTTCCCTCAAATATTCAAGTATATTGTTCTACAGACAAGGCATACTGTGGTTCTGACAAAATAAAAATTCGGCAGCAGAAACCTACAGAAACTTCTTTGCTACCATTTTGTCATTTTCTGAATTTTTGCAGCCCAGAGAGTATGCCTATTTCAGACATCCTCTCTCTTTTACACTCTTGTTCAGAATGTTACTTTCTTAAGTTTGAACAGTATGTGCTGGCATTTTGGGGTAAAGGGGCAAAATAGGAAGGACTTAAGAGTTACATCCCAAACCTTTGAGTACCTCCATAATAATTTGCAGAGAATAATCTTGAAAAAAGAGAATGTAAATACAACTTTCTTTTTAAAACAAAAATATGCAAATAGGTAACAAACATACAAAGGCAAGCAATATATACCAATATATACATTTAAAGCTTTTTTATTTTCCCTTGATCTACTTTCTTTTTCACATCAGTGATGATTTGGTGGGAGCCATCTGATTATGAGAAGTCAGGAAGACACTCTGGCACCGAATGTGCATACAGTATAACTTGTTTTTCAATAAACTACTGATTTGCATTTTAAGCAAACTCATATAGAAATAAATATTTGATAACTTTTCTTTCAACTTGGTAGAAATATTTCCTTCAAATGTAAAGATATGCAAAACATGATTGAATTTAAAAGAGAAACAAGTACTCATCCATTTCTTACATGACTTGTTAAAAATAGTTCACTGGATAGCTTCTGTAAGCCTGGAAAAGACAGTTGCAAATATATGTGTACATGTATTATTTATTTATTGCGTGTTTTTTAAATTTATTTTAAACAAGCACTTTTTTGTCCTGGAGTTTCTCATCTGGATCTGAAGGGGAGCCCCAGTGGGGATGCAGGTGAAGGTGATAAATGAAGTAGGGAGCTGAGAGATTCCTACATGTCTGGGAAGACAGGGTAGAAGAAGCAAGTATGCAGCAAGGGAAAGAGGTAGGAAAGCTAGCAGGATGCTGGAAAGCTACCATATACAAATGGGGATGAAATGATCAAATTAAGCTATGTTTATTCAATCTTGAAAGACAACACAGTTACAGCTAAATGAAAAAGATTTTATTAAATCAGACTTGAAAAAAGTCACAGTAGTTTAATGCACTTAATAATTACTTTAAGTGCATGCTGTACACTACCAACCCAAAGGGATTGTTCTTCTAATTTTATAAATAAAAATTAACATATTTACATTGAAAAAGGCATTATTAAACAATAACATTTTAGCTGAGAAATGTGTAAGACTTGATTACTACAAAATTTTTATATCAATATTATATTAGGCATATATTCCTGAAATTACAAAAAGAAAAAAAATGCCTCATTTGGTTCTGGCACAATTCAAAACTACCCAACACAGCATTTTGTTTTGTTTACTCAACATATTTTTCATTCAATCTAAACATTTTCTTCTTAATTTCTTTGAAAAGAAGCCTATCACACTATTGCTCTAAACCTGGCAACTGACAGTAAAACAATTTTCACTTTGTATGTTACCAGGAATGAAATAGAATTTACTCTTCTAGCGTCCTTTTGGATCATCTTCATTTTTTTTAATATAAAGGAACCAAGGCTTTTATATTGGTATTAGAAGGCATTGTTTCTATAAAAATACAGAATTTAGTTTTATTTACATAAGCATCATTTGTACAAGATTCAAATGCAAAATAATGGACTGTAATTAAATCAGGCCAGGTTTTGAAGTGAAAATCATTCACTTGCAAAAGACTGAAAGCATTCAGTTCTTAGTTTCATTTGGTAATAGTGTTGTGCATGAATCAGATAACAAAAAATGAAGCTTAGAAAATGAATATTGCAGGAATGTTTTAAATGGTCATTTACACTATTTTGCAAGGTTCCTGTAATTGTGTCAAATTATTTACTCAGCTATCTTGAATGCTTGACTCCAGATGAGCTCATTGTCCGGGATCGTTGCCTAAGCACTGGTTTTACAAGGAATTCCAAATCTTCAAAGAGAGGATTTTCAATAATTTCTGCAGCCTCTGGTCTTTCCGTGGGACTTGGCAAGAGCATGTGCTTTACCATCTTATGCTAAAACATTAAAAACAATATTATTTCAGATGGTGAAACGTTTTGAATTGATGGTTATCTAACTGCTGTTCCCTTATAACAAAGTAAATAACCTTTCCAGGCAATGACAAAACAAATTTCTGCACAACAGCTATGCAGATTTTGTCTCTGACCCCAGTTTTATCTCATACACACACACACACACACACACACACACACACACACACAAATTAGAATATGGCAAGAAAGCAAGAGGACCTCCAAATGCAATACTTCAAGTATTTGTGTCTTAATAAACAATCACTACACAGACACAAGCGTACACAATACAATAGCAGAGTTGGAAGGGACATTGGTGGTCTTTTAGTCCAGCCTCCTGCCTAAGCAGGAAATCCTATACAGTTCCAAACAAATGGCTATCCAACAACTTCTTAAAAAGCTCCCAGTGTTGGGGCATTCACATCTTCTGGAGACAAGCTGTTCCACTGATTAATTGTTCTCTCAGGAAATTTATCCTCAGTTCTAAGTTGCTTCTCTCCTTGATTAGTTTCCACCCATTGCTTCTTGTTCTACCCTCAAGTGCCTTGGAGAATAGTTTGACTCCCTCTTCTTTGTGGCAACCCCTGAGAAATTGGAACACTGCTATCATGTCTCCCCTAGTCCTTCTTTTCATTAAGCTAGACATACCCAGTTCCTGCAACCGTTCTTCATATTTTTAGTCTCCAGTCCCCTAATATGTTTGTTGCTCTTCTCTGCACTCTTTTCTAGAGTCTCCATATCTTTTCTGCATCATGGCAATCAAAACCGAATGCAGTATTCCAAGGGTGGCCTTACCAAGGCATTATAAAGTAGTATTAACACTTCACGTGATCTTGATTCTCTCGCTGTTTATGTAGCCTAGAACTGTGTTGGCTTTTTTGGCAGCTGCTGCCCACTACTGGCTCATATTTAAATGGTTGTCCACTAGGACTCCAAGATACCTCTCACAGTTACAATTGGGAAGATACCACCTATACTGTACCTGTGCATTTCATTTTTCTTGCCTAAATGTAGAACCTAACTCTTTTCACCACTGAATTTCATTTTATTAGATAGTGTCCAATGTTCAAGTTTGTCAAGATTCTTCTGTATCTTAAGCCTTTCTTCTGGAGTATTGGCTATTCCTGCCAGCTTTGTGTTATCTGCAAATTTGATGAGTTCCCCATTTATTCCCTCACCCAAATCATTGATTAAGATGTTGAAGAGTATGGGCCTAAAACAGAGCCTTGGGGTATTCCACTGCATACTTCCCCCCATGTAGATGCAGTTCCATTGAGGACTACACGTTGAGTGCGGCTGGTCAGCCAGTTATGAATCGATCTGGTGGTGATACCGTCCAACCCACATTCTTCTACTTTATCTAGTAGTAGGTTATAGTCTACCTTATCAAATGCCTTACTGAAGTCCAAGTAAATTATATCAACGGCATTCCTCTGGTCCACTAATTTTGTTACTTTGTCAAATAATGCAATAAGATTAGTCTGGCATGATCTGTTTTTGACAAACTTATGTTGGTTTAGGCTATTACTTTGTTTACTTCCAGGTGTTCGCTAATTCATTGCTTGATTATCTTTTCCAGAATCTTTCCTGGTATTGAGGTCAGGCTGATAGGTCTAAAGTTTCCTGGATCTATTTTTTTCCTCCTTTTTTGAAGATGGGAACCACATCAGCTCTTTTCCAGTCCTCTGCCAGTTCCCCGGTGCTCCAGGATTTCTGAAAGATAATAGTTCAGTGGTACTGAGATCTCATCTGCCAGTTCCTTCAGAACCCAGGGGTGTAATCCATCCGATCCTGGTGATTTGTACTCGTCTAGGGGTAGACAGGTGCTCACTTACCATTTTTTCCCTATTTCAATTTGTGTTCCTCATCTGATTTTTGTGGTGCTGTTTTTGATAGGTTGGATTGTTTTATCCCTTTGTGTAAATGCAGATGCAAAAAATGAGTTAAATAGTTCTGCTTTCTCCCTTTTGCTTGTCACCTTCTTGTCACTTTCTCCCAGCAATGGACCAATTGTTTCCTTAACTCTTCTTGTTTTTAACATGTTGAAAGAAGTTTTTTTTAAATTATTTTTTACTTTTGTGGCAAGCCTTTCTTCATTGTGAGCCTTAGCTTTCCTTACTTCATCTTTACAGGCTCGGGCTATTTGCTGATATTCTGCCTTAGTTATGTCCCCCACTTTCCACTTTTTATATTTAACTTTTTTGTCTTTCAATTTGTCAGAGAGTTCTTTATGCAGCCATGCTGGTTTCTTTTGGGAGCTGTTATTTTTCTTCTTCATTGGTATTGTGCTAGACTGAGCTTTTGTAATCTCATTTTTCAAAATTTCCCAAGCTTCTTGAGTTGTTTTCCCCTTGAGGATTCTCATCCATGGAATTCTTCCCAAGCTCTAAGTTTATTGAAATTATCTCTCTTAAAATAGTCTCAATTGTGGTTGTAAGTCAAGACTATAGTTTGACTTTGTTCTACTACTTGTGTTTGCATAATTCCAATATTGCATGGTAACTTGCCTCCAGGGTTCCTCTGGCTTCAACACCTTCTATCATTTTCTCTCTGTTAGTGAGAATTAAGTCTAATATGGCCGATTCCCTTGTTCCCTTCTCTACTTTTTGGGAAACAAAGTTGTCTGCTAGGTTCATTAGGAACCTGTTGGATCTTCCTCTTGGTGCAGAGTTTGTTTCCCGGTTGATGTCAGGGTAGTTAAAATCCCACATTAGTATTGTGGTGTGCTTCCTACATACCTTAGTTAACTGACTAGCAAAAAGTTCATCTATTTCCTCTGCTTTATTGAGTGGCCTGTAGTATAGACCTATTGCAATATCATCTCCCCCCCCCAACCTTTAATATTGACCCAAATGCATTCAAGATAGTTCTCATCATTGTTGTGCTCTATTTCTGTTGAGATGTAGTTATTTACTATATATAGTGCAACTCCACCTTCTCTTTTATTTGGTCTATTTCTTTTAAATAATTTAAATCCTTCTAGCTGTATGTTCCATTTGAAGGTTTCATCCCACCAAGTTTCTGTAATGGCAACATATTGCAGAGGAAGGCCGTGTGACTTTGTTCCAAGGTCTATATAGCTGGCTAATTGGCTTTAGATAGGAAAATGTACAAAGATAATTTGTGCTGTTTAAATTAAGTTTAGAAACAAGCTCAAATTATAAACTTTTTTGGGTGAACAGATTGAATTTCCCCTCTCCAGAATGATAAAACTGTAATCAACTGTTCCTAGAAAAGTTGAATTTTGGGGTGTTGTTGTTTTTAAATGAAGTCTTGCAATGACATCAAGTATGCATTCATTATCTCTTGGATCCAACAACCCAAATTTAATTTCCTCAGTTAATGATTTAAGTCATGAAGGAGAAGATCAAGCATAACAATTAATAGTACAATTTACCAAGCAGGCTTATGATTTTTAGTAACAAAATAAATGCAGTTTGTCCTAATAAAATCCCAAAGCTTAAGCACACATCTAAGCTGGAAATTTAAATTCCTATATACCTCCTGTGCATATTCCTTAATGAACAGTGGTGGGAAAGTCAAGTTTCTTACTTCACTTAAAATCTGTAAAAACATTTAAAAAGAAAAAGTTATTTGTGTTGACATAAATCACACGTTTCAGCTCCAAGTCCTAAAGAGGGCACTATTTTCTTTTTATGAAAGTGTATACAGAAATTTCATAATCAGTGCGTTTTAATTTAGTTGTAATATCACAGAATTATGTTAATAACCCTTCTCTGTAATTTAATTCATATCTACTTCTTTTAGATTACAGAAACATTTTATTACAAATTTTTATTCTTGTGCAAGTGCTATACTGAGTCCAATACATTATATCTATTCACTCAGTAATTATATTTATACAAGCTTTCAAAATTTTTTATCTTGATATAAAACACCCACAAATCATACATAAAAAACAATATAAAAATCATCCCCAATTTCTGATCACGTACTTATTTGACAAGGCAGTTTTACAAATATATTCCTGAACTTTTTAAGCAAATAGCTCCTCAATATGAATTATAGAATCATAGCTAATATAATAATTATTCTTTGTTTATACAATTTTTGTACCTAATGGTAAATTAATAATTTTCAGTTTATTGCTAAAGTGTAATTCATTTTCTTCCAAGAATATTTTCAGAAGAGCATACCTACCCTGACTCTCTCCATCTGAGTGCTGAAAGGGTAAAGAAGCTCAAACAAGATCAATCCTAAGGAAAATATATCGACTTTGTGTGAATAAGCATTTCCATAAATCTGTAAAATTTAAAATAAGAAGCAACCATCAAAAATTGAACCATCAGGCTAAATTTTTATTTTCCACTAATATTTCTGCCCAGAATCTTAATATTTAATCAAAGTAAGAGAGTATTTGTATCAAATAAGGTCAAATAAATTCATTTTAATAAATATTCTTAACAGTTAAATAGCAAGATATTTGGAATATAGATATCCAAACTAAACAAAATCTCATGAACAAGCTAACAATGTCCCAAATAATCAAGACTAGATACTGTGCGCGTTTATAAAATGATACATTTAACTTCTAATAACAAACATATGTTTCATTTAAATGTTCTAGAGTTGTGGGATATTCATTTTAATCATTTATGTTCTTCTAAAACCGCTATCAATAAAACAATGATTTTTCTAGAATTTCAAAAATAGAAGTGTAAACAATATCTAATTGCACAACAACAAGGAACCATTAATATATCTGGAGGAACAAATAGTGTAGGAATTTGGCGGTGCAGATGAAATTGAGTGTCTGGCTATCTAGCTGATTGGCATGCTGAACAAGAACTCCCATACTGCAGGATTGATTCTTGTATGTCACATGTTATACATTCAATGCCATCTAAAACACTTTTCAGTCTAAGTATCAAAATATTGATGTTATTTTTATAATGTACTGGAGTAAAAATAAAACCCACAAAATTACAATAAATGTCATTTAAATCCTAAATGGGGAAATAACATAATGCAAACACAAAGCTATTTAGCAATTAAAACATATGATCTATTCCTCTGAATAAGGTATTCCTTATTACCACTTTCTAATAAGTCAGAAAATATTATTCAGTCAGAAAATATTATTTGTCAATAGAGCAAAATTCAAAATAGGGAATTTTTCTGACTCATACTTGATATGTACTCAATAATTGTGCCAACATTTATTCTTTAATTTATGAAATAACATTATGAGAATCCTGTAAATCAGATAAAAACATACCTGTTCTGGGCTCATATAGAGTTTGGTCCCAACTTGCCCTGTGTGTCTGTCATAAGCTGGAATTGGTGTTAAAACAGATTCTTCCTCCTCATCATGGTCCATTGCAGTTACTAGGCCAAAATCTCCAACTTTTACTATATTATCCATTGTAAAAAAAATGTTGGAAGGCTGTATAGAAACAAATGAACACAAAGAAAATTACAATAAAGGCATTAATCTGATTTACTCGGTATCATATAAAATTGTATCATTACATTTTCTAATCTCGTGGAAGAAATATTTCTTTCCTTCCGAAGTGTAAAACATACATGTACATTTGAAAACTAACTTGAGGAATCAATTGTACCATGTTATAGGACGTTTCTCCAAAATAAAGATATGACAGCATATTTACAAAATAATAAACAGGCCACCAGCTAATAGTAATAGTAAGCAGTGCCTACTACATAAATCTATCCTTATATCCCTAACCTTTCTGTGTGGTATTTGTGTGAAATTTTAAAAAAGTTTATGAAATACAGGTAGGTTTCAATTAGTGTGGTTAATGAATCCCATGAAGTGGATGCATTATATGAAATTGTATATTCAAAGTCATATTTCTATGGAAATATGTTCAAAAGAAATAGACAATGACATATATATATATTTATATGTATATTAATCAAATATTAAGCAAAGGATGAAGAGAATATACTTATAATTAAAATTTATGGTTAATTAGATAACAATGATGTTATGTAAAGTAAAAAAATCTACCATAGATTCAGACCATAATGTTTTGTGATACAAGTTTCAATTGTATATCTTATGAAGTAGAATCATACTTGAAACATAGAATCTTTAAAACTTCCTTTAAATATCTTTAAAGAATATTCCTGAATATTCTTCTTTGGTCCACATATTCCCATAGAACATCCACCCTACTATCTACAATTTGGGTTATTCCACAATGTAAATTTCTCATGTGATTCTAGATCAAAATAAATCACTTACCTATTATTAACAACATCCACCCTACTATCTACAATTTGGGCTAGTCCACAATGTACATTTCTCGTGTGATTCTGAATCAAAATAAATCACTTACCTATTATTAACAACCAGATATGTGTAGCAGCTTTCAGTTTGTGACCAGGTTTCAAAACTAGAAACAAGGATCCCTTAGATTCTAAGATTTATTTCTCTCTAAATGGACCCAAAGAGGGCAAATAAAGGGAATATTCAGCAAAGTTCCAATTCACCAAAATTTTATGGGTTAAAAAATCCCAGTATTAAACTTTTAATTTTTGTCCTTTTCCCTAGATTCATCAGCTAGATTGTATCTGCTCTGAAGCTCATAAAAGCAGAACCAGGCCTTTTAGTCTATTTCCACATTTTGAAAAATGTATCACCTTCCAAATTGGATTTCCAAGGCAGTTCTTAAGTGATGAGAACATGCTATTACAAATGGGACAATAAGGAAAAGAGAAATTGCGAGGAATGCAAGTCATTCCTGATTGCTTTGAAATTGCCTGAAATATCATCCTCTGGAAAATGTTTTGTCATCTTAACTGACAAAACATTAGAACCTAGAACGAAGGAAAAATAGCTTCAAAACACTAAAGGAAACTTGACACTAAATAAACTAAACTTATTTTAAGTATTTCCTCAGTGACCTCAACTCTTAACTCTTAAAACAAAATCTCAAGTAGCATTGTTTAAGGTAACTAAAATCACAACTCACTACTGACATTACTAAATGTACTGTGTACTCTGTGCATGTTATGGTAGCCCCTGAAGTTAATATACTTTAAGGGAAACTGATTGCCCATTTGTGTATGGGGCTGAGATCTGGGGGGGGGGGGGGATAAGGTTATTGCCTAATTAGAAGTAGTCCAAAACAACATCATTAGGAAGATCTTGGGCCCCACATTCAGGGCACCCTCAATACCTATTTTGGGATGGAGATAGGCTACCTTGCATCACCATTAGAATACATCTTGCATTGTTAGAGCATTATAAGAAACTAGAAAGCCTTCAAGAATCCTATCTTGCCAAACTCTGTTTTCTCTGTTATACAGTTGGGATCCAATGGACCAAATTTCTGTCACCCATTCTGCAAACAAATGTATTCCCACTTACCTTGGGGAGATTTAAGTTCTTGGAACAGATAAAATAGCAAAGAAAGGCTTTTTGAGAGGGATGCCACTGAGGTACTATCACCCAAATGTTTGGTATCATCATTATAAAAACACAGATACTTCTATAGGAACCTACTTAACGTAACAGTGCTTTACTGGGAGGGCTTTAACATATATTTATCTTCAAATCATGTTTTTCAAATATCTCAGAGGGAGATATTTCTTTTTGTAAACTCTCTGTCAAATAACATCTCTGTCCTTGTGGTGTTGGTCTAGCAAAGGACATTATCCATTACATCCTCTACTGCCTCATGTTCAATGAGATTAGGGCAAAATTACTGCTAACTTCCAATCTTGAAAAACTGAACTATCTTCTTGCAAACATATTTTCATGTCAGCAACAAGTTACTATAGTTTCTCTGCTGTCATTTAAATTTAGAAGAGAATACCGTACTTAAGTTGTTAGCTGTAGTTTGGGCTTTATTTTGCTGTAAGTTTTTTTTTAAAAAAAATATCTAATATAGGTAGTTCTTGACTTACAACCACAATTGAGACCAGAATTTCCCTTCTTAAACGAATCACATCAATGTTATGACCTTTTGCTATGATTACAATCACTGCAGTTAAGTGAATCATGCTGTTTTTAAGAAAATCTGGTTTTCCCTATCGACTTTGCTTGCTAGAACATGACTAGGAAAGGTCATAAATCATGATGACATGATCCCAGGATGCTGCAACCATTGTAAATACAGGTAGTCCTCCACTTACAACAGTTTATTTAGTAACTGTTCAGTTACAACAGCACTGAAAAATGACATGACTATTTTTCGCACTTACGGCCATTGCAGTATCCCCATGCTCACATAATCAAAATTCTGATGCTTGGAAACTGACTCATATTTATGACAGAGTGTCCTGAAGTCATATGATCAGCTTTTGTAACCTTCTGACAAGCAAAAGTCAACAGGGAATCCAAATTCACAAGAACCATATTATTAACTAACAAATACACTGATTCACTTAGCAACTGTGGCAAGAAAGTTGTAAAATGGAGCAAACTCACTTAACAAATGTTTCAACATAAATTTTAGGCTCAATTGTGGTCGTAACTCGAGGATTACTTGTGTATGACGCTGCCAAGCAACCACATTTGATCACATGACTGTGGGAATACTGTTGTCAGTTCTAAGTGTGGGACTGGTTATAAGTAACATTTTTCAATGCCGTAGTAACTGTGAATGATCACTAAATGAATATTTGTTATGTTGAGGGCTACCTTACTCTTTTCGTTACTTTATTTTACTTATTTTAAAGTTTTTCTACTTCACTGTTATTTTATTGTATTTTATGGCACATTGTATGGCTGCAATACTAAGCTTATTTATTGGAGTATTATATTTCATTTGAATAATTTCTATTTCTATTTTGTGACAGTATTTACTCATGAGTAATTTTTCCACAGTACATTTTTGTACTGCATATTGTTTTTATTTTTAGTACTTAAAGTTGCTTTGATAGATCATCTAGAGCCATTGAGAGTTGGGCAGGAAAGATACTTAAATAAATTATAATATAGTTTTACTTTATGTTCACACTGTAACTGACAAAGATTAGTAATAAATAATAAATTATATAATAATAAATTGTATAATAATGTATAAGGTTTTTTCCCTGACACCCTTCTTAACATTCAACAATGAAGAAATAATTCAGTGGAATATGAATACGTTTTTCAAATACATACAGATAATTAAATAAACTACTCCAGGGAGATAAATAATTATATTACATTATCTGTACGAACCTTGAGATCCCGATGCATTAATCCTTTACTGTGCAGGAACTGAACAGCTTCAGCTATTTGCAGGAATATCACAAGGCACTCGGTCCTGTCTCTCTCCTCTATTGTGCATCTTCGGTTCATCCAATCTTTAAGGTTTTCTTTCCTACAAAGTTGCATCTGGATATAAAGATACACTTTTGGAGTGGTAGGTAAAAGTTTTTGAACAGAGTTGTTAGAGCAGTCCAAACTTAAAGTTGTTGGTCTTGGTGGAGAAATAGATAAAGAGCTTGTTGAAGATGACTTTCTATTATTTGACTCTCTTGTGCTTGTCGCTTTATCTTCAATATGGTTATCATGAAGCAAACTGGTAATATTACCCCCTTTATTGGAAGAATTGTCACAATCAGAGTCTTCAAAGATAATAGAAGATGACGTTCGGTCCCTCAACCTTACTACCGATTTAGCAGGAAGATAAACTTCAAAGGAATGAACAGGATCATTATCATCAACAGAACTGCCTTCCATATCACAGCTATGAATGAAATTATCTTGTGCACTTGCCAATTGGCTCAAATCTCTGTTCTCGATGGCAGAAAACTCCAAAGGAGAAAACTTATTCTCTGATGAATCTGATTGATCACAATGTATTCCTACGGAAAGCAGTGTCTTCTTTTCTACGGATGTAGCAATGACTTCAATGTTTTCTTCAGTAGAAAATGGCACTGTTTTAATTTTAAACGATGGTACCTCCATTGCACTGGGAGAACTGAGTGGCCAATCAATACTTTAAATATATTAAAAAAAGAGATAACATTAAAAACTTCAATTAATCTTACCATATGTTGCCCACAGAGCAAAAATACAAAGTTTTCCCCATGTCTATGAATTAGTGTATGCATGCTTCAAAAATGATTTGGAATGCTTTGGACCCTGCATGAGCCCAGAACCTCTTTGCTATTCATACAAGTAGTCATGACATTTTGCATCCTTCCTTAACAACTTGAAAAAAGATGCCAATGTTTTAAAAATTGTTCAACAAGATTACTCCATAAAATATCACGATATTTTTAGGCTTATATAGAAGTCTAAACAATAGTATGATTGTTTAATTAGTAGTACAGAGTGAGTTGCATTTGCATAAGGCTTGGGAATTTTTTCCAAATTATTTTCAAATTGGGCATAACCTACTAAATAGTTTAAATTAAGATAATTAAATTCATAATTACTTTTTGCAACATTCAGAGTGTAAAGGACCTTACAAAAGAATGTTCTGAACATTTTAACAGGAACATTTCAAGATTTTTTCTAAGATAGTAATTTATTGTCAAATCTTCCTGCAGTCCTACTTACCAGAACAGAAGGGATCAGATGATGTGGACTCCTTCTATGGCTTCTAGCTTCTTTTTTTTTTAGAATGGGAATTTATTAATTTACTACAGTAGGGAATGCTATTTAAAACTCTTTAACTATCTCATAAATTATTTCACTGATCATTTCTCAAACTAATTTGACATCTCATGACTGTTAAATGAAAGAAATAATATCATATGGATCAATCCACTACCAGATGCTTCCAAGTAATACTCTTTCATCCTCTACCATTATGAAAGTGTAAAGGGTTGATAATGCAAGTGTAGGAGGTTTTTTTAGTTTAAATAAATTTGTACAACCATAGTTATTTCTTTCCACCTATGGAGAGAGACATCCAACAGACCCTAGAAAGGCCTAGAAATAACATGCCTAAGCAATATTATTAAGCAAAAATCAAGGACACGGGTCATACTGAGAACTTCAAAAGTAAAAGTGTTACTTCACAAAAAGAGTAGGGAAAGCTTGAAAACAGCTTCCAGCGGGGTAGTGACTGAGTTTAAACATGTTTGGGATAAACACATGTCTATCATCTGATAAAAATTTAAAAATAAATAAAATATACAATAACAATAACAATAAATAAAAGAAAAATAACACCTAGGGCAGACTTGATGGACCACTAGATGTTATTTGTCAAATTTTTCTACATTTTTATGTATAAATACAGTCTTTCTTACTTTGAATCATTTTTAAAATACGCAATAGAGGTAGCCCTCAACTTATGACCATAATGGAGCTTGCCTGTGAGGTGCTGACAGACTGTCTTGCTCAATCACCATCTCAGCCTTCCTGATTGTTAAGCGACTGTATGGGCCGCTAACTGAAGAGAATGAAAGAGCTTCCTGATGAAAGAGGGTGGACAGCTTCACTTTGTGTGCAGAACTAGTGTGCTGGGACCAAAGAAAGGAAGCTTGGATTCTGAGAAAGGAGTTTCCTTTTTCTAGGACAGTGTGCCAATTCCCCTCCACATCGGGAGGGTAGGGTGACTGTGTGCTGTGTTGGAAGAAAGGAAATAGCTTGCCACCTTTCTTGCTGACCTTCTGAGGAAGCCGGAAGAGTAAACTGCGAATCATGATCACATGGTTGCAAAGGGATTAGCTACCTGTTGTATATATGAACGGTTGGCAAGAGCCCAGTTTGCAATTATGTGACTGTGGAGGCAATATAAGCACCGGTTATTCCTTCAGCACTATCATAATTTTGAACAGTGGCTGAACAAACTGTTGTTAAGTCAGCTAGCAAACCCTAATTTGAACTACACTGAAAAAATAGCATTAAGGAGAAAAGTAATGCTTAATGAAGAGGAACTGATAAGAAGATAAAATTGATGAAAAAATGAGAAATTTATCCCATTTAAATTCTTTAAATTCTTATAAATTGCATCTTTGAACAAATTCCTGAAAAAAAATCTGTATTCTATGAATTTTGGGGTAGTTTGCTGCTCTAAAATGTGTACCAGAAATTTTATGCAATGGAAAAAACATTTCTGAAAATTTACATAAAATGTTAACACTTTTGAAAACATAGAGACTAAGCAAAATGAATGAGAGGTTTGTATTTTTAATCTCAACTGCCAAACTATATTAGACCTATAAAGGCACAAATAGACAAATGATCTGAGTTCACTAATATATTGTGACAAAGTGACAGTGATCAGAAACCCAATTTTTAACACACAATCTCATTTGATCAAGAGATTATAAAGTAGCTACTAGAAGCACCAGGCTAAGAAATAAAAACAGATTAATAATCTAAGGCCTACACTCATGTTATCTACAATGCAGTTCTGGAGGAATCATGTTATATAGAACTACTATCGAGGAATTTACACTGTCCCTCTTTTTAGTTTCTGAGTTATTCAGTACATGTATATATCCTGGCTTTTATCCCTTATGATGAAGCAATAATGGAATAATAAAGTGAGTTCCATCTAATTTCCAATCAAGACATTATACCAGAGCCACATTTGTCAGTTTTATTGATGTGGCTACATTATATTCTTCTGACTATGTCTTGATTCATTTACAGATATTATTCTGCAAAATTTTGATTTAACAAGATTTGTAAATATTATTTCCAGAGTCTTTTAATGAATGTATGCAATTTCTAAAAACTAAAGTAAATACCTCTCATCTTTCAACCACAGCTTATCCATTCTTTCTTGCCAGCTCTCAGGTGGTGTTTCTAACCAAGCATTAAAATATCGAACAATGGAAGGATGTTCAAGTTTTGCTAATGCTTTAACTTCACGCATAACCTTTTCACGTGCCAGCTCCCTAAAATTTGAGGTAATACAACAAAGACAAAAGATTTATGCAGGGTAAATTGGTCAAATATTTCTTTCCATAGTCTTTTCAGGTGACAAAATAGATTTTCTTTAATTTCCTTACATAAGGAAATTATACATCCTATTCAGTAATTAATAGTTTATTTTCTTAATCAACTCAATGTTGTATTAGAAGAATTCCTTATATGCATATGATTATAATTTCAGGACTGAACCCTTTTGAGTGAAAAGTTGGAGAACTCAAGCTTCTTTTTCCAGTAGTTCTCACGTTAGATGGATTTAAAAATAATGCAATTACTCCAACATAAAACAAAAACATTCTTGACTATAGACCACTTTGTAATATTTTTTTAAAAAAAATACAGTTTAGGAACCCACATTTATAGAAGGCTCCAAGAGAATGTTCAGGAATTTACTGAAATTATTTATACTATAACTATTACTAAAACTAATAACCTTGATTTCTTATATCTAATGTTACTTTTTAAATTTTGAAAACTTTCCCAGTTGTTGAATAAAATGGTTCTGAAACAACGGCAACCAATATGTAAACCTTGGTGCCATCTAGAGTAAACTATGAAGGCAACCAAAAAGATATGTAATTACCTATTTGGAAGACGAATTCTTTTAATAGCATAGTTACAATCGTCAACTTTGTTTCTGGCTTCAAATACTACTCCAAAACCTCCACGACCAAGACACTGAACTGGTTCAAAATCTGTCAGATACCTGCAAGAAAAGACAGAAAAAAATTGATTTTCCTTGTACTTGCACACTACTATTCTCCTGTGCGCTCCTTGGAGAGTCTAAGCATGGGTTAAATACAGTCTATTTGCCCTAGGACTGAGTAGATTTTTCTTTAACCATGTGATGGCCATTTTAAAGCATTTTGCACGCTTTTTCATGGTTGCTGTCATCTTAAGCTCGGAGAACGTCTGTGGCCATTTTAAAGTGACCTTTTTGCTCAGATTGTCGTTTGGAGCCGCTTGAAGACCTGCGGAGTTGCGCTCAAGCCCCTCAGCTGCAGATCGCCGCCGGGGAGTGTTTGGCTTTGTCTGGGACGCCAGCAGGTCTGCCTCCCTGCATCGAGCACTCAAGGGCCTTGAGGGAGGCCTGAGAAGGTTTTTGGCCAATGGGCCTTTCTCCTCTCAGATTGTGATGTGCAGGTGTTCCGTAGCTGGCTGGCTTGCACCTGGTGCCTGTCTAGTTTCGAGTTTAATAAAATTTGTATGCCACCCACTCCCATTGGGATTCTGGGCGGCTCACAAGCAAGATAAAAAAGCTTATTTAAAAATTATAGATAAAAAATACAATGTTAAAAATTGACACACCATACAACCAGTCCAGTGGGGCTGCATATAATCAACAGCCCCAGGCCTGCCGGAACATCCAGGTCTTAGTGGCTTTACGAAAGGCCGGGAGAGTGTTAAGGGTCCAGATTTCTATGGGTAGTTCGTTCCACAGGGCCGGCGTAGCAAC